CTATCTCAGGTTGCAGCAGAAATCAAGAAAAGTTGATCAGGCTTCAATTGACTCAATGAAGCATGCATCAATCGATTATAACCAAACAATATATCAATCCAAAAGTCATTACAATCATTATCCCTAACACATGGAACTAGGGTTCTTCATATCCAAGTGAGAGACAGTTCTACTCCATAGAGAGAGAGAGAGAATAAAATAGGATACAAAGCAGTCATACTCATAACAATGGGAAGAATATGCTCTGGGATGATAATCTTCACTCCAAGGATGAAATCCAAGCTTGATTGATGAAACCCAGCTCCAAAATCACTCCTAGGGTTTGTTCTTCGCACTTTCTCTCTCTAGGACTATGTTTCTTGCTCTGAAAAATCGTCTCCCACTTCAAAGACCCGAAATTGGGTTAAAACCCAGAATTCCACCACGACACGGCCGTTTGATTAAGTGACTCAATGTACGCTACACGGCCAGAACCGCATGGCCGTGTAGAAATATTGCCTGCCCGTGTGAACTCTCTGGAAATCCCATAAGGCCAAAAAGGGCCCTTACACAGTCAGTGTGGCTTTGCCCACACAAAGGGGTTCCACACGGCCAAGTCACACGGCCGTGTGGAATTTAGGTCAGCCCGTGTGGTTTCCTCAGCTTTTCGTCAAACGTCCCAACTTCGTTCAATCGACCCCGAACTCGTGCCCAAACCTTCCTTCACGTACTAGGACCAGAAATATCACAAACAACAACAACCTAGCATGAAATCGGCCTAAAACACGAGAGACGAGGCTCAAACAGTATAAGAATGGTGGACAAAATCATGTGTAAATATCAAGTCATCAAGATCCTAACAGGTAAAACCAAACCCGGATTCGAAAGTTGGAAGAAAAGGAGCAAAGATCGGGCAAAGAGGTGGAAACAGCCGGAGTTCATGGCCAGACGTTGGAGTTCACGGTCTTATTGGACCATGAACTAGAGCCATAACCCGTGAAGAGAGGAGCAAACAGAGGGGGTTTTCAAGTTACTGGCTCCTAGGCAGTTCGCGGTCACTAAGACCGTGAACGGAGGCCACTGACCGTTAACCCAAACAATTGATGCGGTGAGTTTTGGTCGTGACACTAAGTTCACAGACGCGTTTCAATGTTCACAGCCAAAGGGAGAGACCTAGAGTGAGAAAAATTCTTCTTCTTCAGATTTTAGAGTGAGAAAGTGACAAACCAAAGAAGAGGAAAAGCTGAGGTTTGATCTCCAAGCAAGGATTTGGGGTTTTCTTCAGCACAAGGAGAAAGGCTTGCCTCTTCATGATGGTTTTCCTTTCCCTCTTTTGTGTTTTCCCTTCTCCTAGCATGGAGTAGTCCCTTATTTCACTTGGGTGTTTGTAAACCCTAGCTTCAATTATGTGAATGCTTGTATGAATTGAATGATTTGTGTGTGGATGTGTTTTAATATGAATGTGGAGGTATTATTTAGAAGTGATTGTGTTGTGTGAAAGCCAATCAATCTAATTCCCATTCTAACCTAGTTTAGAGAGAACCTCCTTAACTTAAGATGCTCCTCTAGAGATGGGTTTCCTTGGGCATTTTATGCCTCCTAGTCTAGGTTAGTTAAAGGGAAAACCTCCTAATTCGTATTAAACACGTAGGTTGTGGTTGTGGGTGGCCGAACTCCAATTCGAGGGTGAAGTCTAACCATTTCTTAATCGATAGTTTGAGCGGGTCACATTAGTGGCTTGGATCGTATACCATTCCTCAACCTAGAGTCTAAGAGGTTAACTTTGGTTGCTTGTTAGACTTCCCTGCCGTTTATGACCACCTAACCACACACGGTCGATCGACTCTTCGAGTCATAATTGTTAGATAGGGGGAGCAACACCTAGAAGAATCTTTCTCAAGTAGAGTCAAATCCATTTTACCTTTGCAAAGTAATTTAGTTTTCAACCTTTTTTCCACAAAAACCGATCCGCTAGATAATGTTTCTGGTGGATCCTTGCTCACAACCAACTCCTCCAAGTTTTATCTCTTGCCACGTACCCCATAAAACTCTCCTTATTCACTCCAGGGGTATAGGAATAACCTCCCTTCATGGCCACGTACAGATGATATGACAATTACCCACCAATTCATGTACACTAATCACTTTTCCTTTTACATGTGTAAGAACTATTCAGTTTAATTAGTTGGAGTGAAAACCCTATTATCTACACGTGGATATGTGGAAATTCAAGGTTAATTTTACCACCACTTCTCTTTGAGCCTAACCAAATAACACCTCCCAAAAATTACCCCAAGTTACTCCACGTGGCCAGGTGAGAAGTCTCCTCTTCATTGCTGTGACGGGAGAGCAAAACATACTCCCTTTTCATTAGGATCAATCACGTGGCTATCCTAAAGCTCCATTTTCTCTATATTTCTACCACATGACCAAGCAGGGGAAATGTGTCATATAAAGCCAACATCTCTCACCCAACAAACCCCATTACAGAACCATGCAAACTGCAAAGATACGTACATGCATGAGATGGGTGAGTTATCAGGTGAGCTCAAGCACCCCATCACCCTTTGTCTACCTTGTTAACACAGTCAAAAGTGGGATGGTAAAAGTTAATTTTATCCACAATTCAATTATAAGCCAGCCTCCTTGCATCTTTCTATCTAATATAGTGAAGACAACATTTCAAATATCAAGCTACATGGAAGAGAAAGGGAAATGTGGCAAGTTATCTCCCCCACTTCTCATTGGATGGTTTACATAATGATCGCTCAGCTTCCCACCTCGTGCTACTCCTTGACAAATAGAAAACCAAGTGTGTTTCTCACTTACTTAAGACTTAAGAGGTTGGAGAATTTACCCTAAAGCACACAATCAACATGCTTATTTTGCCTTGTTACACGTGTATGTGAACTAGTCTCCCACTTACCCTAAACAAACCAATTACACGTGGAACTAATGAGACTAAAGATGTCATTTTTACCACTAACCATTTTATTAATTCATCCTATGCCCATCTCATATTCTTACACGTGGAAGCAAGTATGGTGAGCTTTGGCATTTTATTTTGCTAGCCATATGCATGCACTTAGGTCCAAGGTAAGTTTCTCAAACCTTTAATTAAGTTGTCAACTCCATTTTTTGTTTTATTTTTAATCAATACTAATCAAGGACACGCCAATCCCGCCAGGAGTATTAGACGCCTATAAATAGGTCGTTCATTTCTATTTTCTCGGCGATCCATCTCAAATTTAGAGAACTCGCTTTCTCTGAATGAGATCGGAAAAGGGGGAATTCCCGACGAACTTCTTATCGGCGAATTGGCAACTTCCAACCCCAAAATTTCTCTTTTTTTCTCCCTCCATCTGGCTCTATACGCCGCTCCCGGTTATTTCCAAGTACTGACTTGAGCTTTGGAGAAGGTCCCAGCCAACCACAACAAGCGGGTCCTTTTTTTGCAGGTATTCATCTCGGGAGCTGGAATCCAACGACAATAAAAGGGTCAACGCTCTCCGGACTCTACAACGTTCGAGGTTGGCTATTTTAGCTTGGCATCAACAATTGGCGCCCACCGTGGGGCCCGGTGATATTACTACCTATAGATTGCCAATTCAACCAGCCGAGATTGATACAACGGATTCACAACTCCATGTTGAGATCGGTCAAGGTTCAACTACAAACCCTGAGCAAACTCTGCCATCCCAAAGGGTTGAAGATGTGCAAGCTGAAATTGAGCGACTTTGTGCTCAGATTCGGTCTGCAACAGAGGCTCCACAACCACCACTGGTTCCTCTACCAGCTTTCTACGAGAGTACGGGAGTCCCTAGATCCTCAAGCGATCATCAGAATGTCATACCGGCAGCAACTGAAGCAGCCACCCGAGATGTCCCCCCAATTGTTCCTCACCTCGAAGAACTTCCTCCCCCGGGGATGTTTTCTCAACCAAGTACCGGTCTCCCCCTGGCTTTGGCCATTCTAAATGAGCCATACCCGGGGAAACATCCATATATCCAACCTTTCGAAGTACCATTCTGGTATGTGGGTGGTAACTTTTGGTAAATAGTGATGAAAGTCGTAAATGACAGTTAGTATATACCTACTATCATGTATTCAACCTTCCTACAATATAGGTATGTACATACCATCATGGTACGCTTTCTTACCATATGGTATTAAATAGGAGCATACCATATGGTATTGACTTGTAAAAAATGACTCAATTTTTTTTGTTCTAAAAATATATCAAAGTGGATATCATTTTAAAGAGCACTATTAATATGATTTATCTATGTAAAAATATTTAAATTTCAACTTAAAACGAAAGAGAAATCGTCCATTAAAAATTATTGAAGAAAAATAAAAACTTTACATTAAAGAGTAAGATATTGATATCATGCTGATGTGAAGAGTATAGTAATACTATAAAGTTACTAACCTAATCCGTCAACTCGCATGTCCCATGAAACTTCCGCATATCCACGAGGATAACTATGTACATCACTCATCTATACTATAATATACGCGGCGTAACAGAATTGCTTTCTGAAGAAAACAAAAAAAAAACTTATCCACCGAATCCAACTCAACGACTCCATTATTTTTTGGGTTTTTTCCATAACTATTGTAATTTAAAAAAAATACCCAAAATACAGTGACTGGAAAAATAATTCCCAATCTACTGTCTATAAAGACGAATTGGGGCGTGGACGCCCCAATTGGGCTTTATAGTACGCGGAAAACCGAATTAGGGCGCGGGCGCCTGAATAAGTTACAAAAGACTAATTGGGGCGGGAATATGCCTAATAGGGGCGCGCGCGCCTCAATTGGGCTTATTCCCGCCCCAATTTGCGTTTTAACGTACAGTTTTGTCCCACCGTCTCTGAATAACGCAACGGGAAATTTCCAACGGGCAAAACAAACGGAAACAAGCCTCTAACGGGCAAATTTGGGGGAAACAACTATTTTCTATTGCCTATATAAAGGAGGTCATTTTGCTAATGAATTGCCACACATTCTTTCACCATTTTTTTACTATCGTCTCCTACTAAAACTATTCACCACCGTGAACAAAGTCATTGTCATAGCTCAACCATTTGAGAGATTATGGCTAATGCAAGGTATTTCTATTAACCTTTGTTTCTTTCTACTTTAGTAAATTTTATTTTAGTAGATTGAATTGTGCGTGCCAATTAGTTATATAGTTAATTTAATTGTTCTATATATTTTTTCTTCTTCTTGTGTATAGAGCCTTTAAACTTGTTGTTTGGTGGGGAATTGAAAAAGAAGAGAGAAAGTTGGGGTTGAAGTTCATTGGCGGTACTAATTTCAGACTACAAATTCATGGTTGCTTGACATATGAGCAACTATGTGAGGTCATCAACACGAATCTACGAGAAGAAGGGGTAGAGGGCACATTAGCTTCCTTTACATTTAGACTGCCAGAATTGCAAAGAAATTGTAAATTTTATCACTATGGTATTTCGGTTATGGATGATGTTGGAGTTGATATGATAACAGATTTTATGGCGCGAAATCCAAATCGCGAGTTCGCTGAAATATGTGTCGAGTTTGCTAGTCATCTTGAAGAGGAGGATGATATGTATAGTATGCGCTCGAGTAGTGTCCATAGTGAGCCAGATGATCTTATGGACGAGGACGAGGATGATGGTGATGATGTTGATGAAGGCGAGCATCGAGTTGTGATCGAAGGAGCTTGTGCTACTTCAAATGTAGAGACATATGTTCCCGCAGCACATTATTTTGTGCTCCCAGAAGACTATGACAATGAGATGAGAGTTGACTCTTACGGAGATATGAATGATGATCTAGGATGCCGCCCGGGACAAGAATTCTAAATTGGCCAGATAAGGACGCCACTACATCCAAAGTCCAAACATGATCAATGCAAAATATTCTAATTAGTATTATAATTTAATGGTGATTATTATTATAATTTTTTTTTCTAATTACTCACCACAAATGGCTGTCTACTCTCATCCATGAACACTCTAAACCACTGCATGTAGTCTGTGTGAGCCCGATGTAAGTGGGACAACCACCTCGCAGCACGTGGATGTGAATCCTCCGTGACAGGCTGCCAGTTGCGTGTATCTAAAGGAGCGAGGGCTAGAAATCGCTCCCACACCCATGCAGCTATCAAGTCGGTCCAGCCTCCAAGATCACCTCCCATAGTCGGTGCAGATGTCATCCTCAAAGTGGTCCTACCAAGTTCTCGATATAAGTATGCTCATACAGCTGCCCCCCATGCATTAGGGGTGGGCGTCCGGTCCGGTTTTAACTCTCCGACCCCGAACCGACCGAAACCGAATTTCCTACATTTCGGATCGGAATTCGGATGCAAAATCCTCCTACTTCGGAATACATGGTGGTACCGCCCGAAACCGAATTCCGATTTCCGAACCGTGAACCAAAATGTTGTATAAGCTGGTAATGGGCCAAGGGTTGCAAGCCCAAACCCAATTGAAGAAACCTAGCCCAGCAGCCAGCCTCCCAATCCCAACCCAAAAGAAGCAAACCCTAACAACCCCTAACCCTCTCCGCCTCTCGCCCTCTCCAGTCTCCTTCTATCGTCTCTCCACTCCACTCTCCACTCCATTCTGTTCCGTCTCCCGACCCTCAGTCGCCGTCGCCCTCCCATCACTGATTTCCAGTCGCCGCCACGCCTGCCTCCCAACAACAACTCGAGTCTCGAGAGTCGCCGCCCTCCATCTATGCACCATGAGTCACCGCCGGGGGTAGCAGAGCAGAGCACGACAGCCACCACCATCCAGATTCCAGCAGTGCAGGCGCAGGGCCCCCATTGTCGCCCCTCGTCGACGGCAGTCGGCAACTTACCACTGAAAAGTCACCACAGTAGCAATCTCTCTCCATCGAAAGCCATGAGCACCACCAATCGAAAATCCAGCAAACGAAAAAATCCTGGCAACTCTTCTCACACTGACGGTCCAAATATTGCAACCGAGGATGTTCATGTTTTGGTAACTATCTATTTCCAGTTTTGAAATGATTTTGACTTTGCGATTTTACTATCCGATATTTGGAAACAATCATTCATCAATATGTTCCATTAGTAGTAGTTATGTCTATTCTGTAAAATGAAGCTAGCTAGCATAAAAAAAAACCAAGAAAAAAGACAGCAGGGGCCTAATTGAACTATTGAGGTCTGAAGCATGGTTTGATTGACTTCGATTTATATATGTTTATGTTTGTTAATTGATAGAAAAAAGATAGCTAGCTAATAGCATTAAGAGGAAAATGATAGAAAAAAGACAGCAGGGGTCAAAAATGAAGAATGGTTTGATTTATGTTTGTGTTTGGATGATTTAGGACCAAGAATCATCAGAGAATGAAGTTCCCGAGACCGAGGGTGGTGATCCTTCAGCTCCTCCTGCTGGTGTTCGTTCTACAACACATATTCGATCCTCAAAAAGGAAAGATATAGAGCCACGTGCTCCATGTTGGAAGCAGTTCTCAAAGTTCAATGACAAGGACGGCAATAAGAAGTCAAGGTGCGACATTTGTGGGCAGGAGTATGATGCCGATCCACAAAAGAATGGTACCAATGCCATGAATGCTCACATACGAAGAGGTTGTAGGCGCATAAAAGGTACTACTCAGCAACTATTGAACTTAGAAAAAATTGGGATTGAGAATGAGGGTGCTTTAACTAACTGGAAATTTGATCAAGAAGCTATAAGAAAGGGATTAGCTTACATGATCACCGTTGATGAGCTTCCGTTCAAATTTGTGGAGGGGATGGGGTTTAAGTACTTCATGTCACTATGTTGCCCTAGGTTTAATATTCCTTCTAGAAGAACAATGACTAGGGATTGTTTTGATTTCTATGGTGAGATGAAAGACAAGTTGAAAAAGTTTTTCCAAAGTTGCGAAGGAAGTGTGTGTTTGACTACTGATGCATGGACTTCAAACAAACAAGATAGCTTTATGTGCTTGACTGCTCACTTTATTGATCAAGATTGGAAGTTAAGAAAGAAGATCATAAATTTTGGTGAACTTAAAGGTCATAAGGGAGTGGATATTGCTGAGGGTATTGTTGATTGTCTTGATGGTTGGGAAATTAAGAAGGTATTCTCTATTATCGTGGATAATGCATCCTCCAATGATACAGCTGTTGCAAAATTGAAGGAAGTGTTCAATGCTAGAGGTATTAGCATCTGTGATAATGCATTCCTTCATATGAGATGTGTAGCTCACATCTTAAATCTAGTTGTGTCTGATGGACTTGGAGATATCTCGTCGTCTGTGAAGAGGATTAGGGAAGAGGTGAGGTTTATTAGAAACTCACCTGAAAGGTTGAAAAGATTTCATGAGTTTGCTGCAGTTCAGAAGATAGAAGGCAAACGAGGGTTATGTCTTGACGTTCCCACAAGATGGAACTCGACATTCCTGATGTTGCAAGCTGCTGAGAGGTTTGAGAAGGTCTTTATGATGTACGAAATGTATGACGAGCAATTTCGAAAGGACTTGGAAAGCAAGAAAGATAGACATGGCATAATTGGGGTTCCTGAGAAGACTGATTGGGTTAATGCAAGGAGAATGATGGGTTTTCTGAGTCGTTTCTATGACTTCACCTTGAAGATCTCAGGTTCCCATTATACTACTTCTAACTTGTTTCTACAAGAAGTGCATTCCCTATATCATTTGATTAACAAGTGGGTGGAAGAAGTTGAAAAAGATTATGACTTGAGTGTCATGGCTAAGAAGATGAGGCTATGTATGAGAAGTATTGGGGTGATGTTGATAAAATGAACAAGTTACTCTACATAGCCACTGTAATGGACCCGAGGTACAAGCTGGGATTTCTGGAGTACGGGTTGAAGAGGGTCTATCCTGAAGATGGCAAGGGAGGACGTATGGCAGAAGATGTGCGCAAGGCGACATTTGAGCTCTTTGCTCACTATGAACAAGTGTGGAAGTCGAAAAAACATAAGGGTGCTTCTACTGCTACTTTGACTCCTATTGTGGAGGAGTGTGGTAATGATGTGATTGATGTTCTTGCTGAGTATAAACGACATAGAGAGCAAATTGATGGAGCGGTGAACAAATCTGAGCTTGAAAGATACCTTCGTGAAGCTGATGAGCCGATGGAGATGAACTTTGATGTATTAGGTTGGTGGAAGGTTAATTGTTCGAGGTTTCCAGCCCTTTCTATGATGGCTAAGGATGTTCTAGCGGTCCCAATTTCTACCGTTGCATCCGAATCTGCATTTAGTGCCGGTGGGAGGATTCTCGATGATTTCTGAAGTTCATTGACTCCTAGAATAGTGGAGGCCTTAATTTGTAGTTCAGATTGGATTCGATGTGATTCTAGACCATCATTAGATGAGGAGGACGTGGAAGAGGTTGACAAAATAGATGAAGGTAAAATCTTAAAACTAGCATTACATATTTACATTGTGATTGATTTTTAGCTTATGATTAGTCTATATTGATTTTTTTTGTTTGATGTTGCAGAATTGAACAAGTTGATGGATGCAATATCCATTAGAGATAACCTTGTTTCATCTACTTCCACTTCGAATGTAACAAGTAGTCGTACCGATGGTGATGGATCTAGTAGTGGTTTTTGTGATAGTTCCGATTTCATGCATGATTGATGTCACAAGTAGGTAATCTTAACTTTTTAGAGCAATGGTTTTATTCTATTTGTATTTATCTCTATATTTATTCATCACTAACCATTTTTTCATGTATATTCTATATTATTTTATTTATTCTTAGGCCTTGACTAGCAAAGGTGTCAATTGTCCAAGATTGAAGAAACAAGAAGTAAGGAGCAATAAAGAACCAAGAGATGATAAATGGACTTTGGAGTTTCAATTTATGTTTTTAAGTATGATGTAATTTATCTTTTCATATGGTAGACTTTGATGTTTGAATGGTGGATTTTGGTATCTGTACTTGTCTTGAATTTTAGAATGGTTGACAATTGATGTTTGAGACTTTGTGTGCTTATATATTGTCTCAAGTTCCTCAAAAAAAAAAAAAGAGGCAGCAGCTGCCATAAACAGATGAGCAGGTCATTCAATCCACAGGATAGCAGTGCAGCCGCCACTCACAAACATACAGCAGGGTTCCTTTTCGGTTTGACCACCGAACCGGTATATAATTCGGTTCGGGCGAACCGAACCGAATTATATTCCGGTTCGAGTTCGGTTTGGCCATTCGAGGAAGCAGCCGACCCGGTATCCATCTTTTCGGTTCGGTTTCGACCGAACCGATGCCCACCCCTACCATGCATAGCCTCCTGCACGTGCCCAATCCTCAAGAAGTAGACCATACATAAGATGCATCTCAGCTCCAGATCGATCAGGAAACATCACTCCTCCTAAAAGCAGCATGCAATATGCTCGCGCATACTGACTAGTAGTATGATTTGAAGCTTCCTCTAGCAATGTAGTGAATGCGTCTCTAAGCCAAGAGTACTTAACACGTCCATTCGCAAGATCTGATTGCTGCTCTACAGGAGGAAGTTTCCCAAGTAGACTCATGCATATCTCATCCCATGATGAGTTTGGAATATCTAGGATCACAGCCTGTCCGTCGACTGATAGTCCTGTAAGCACGGCAACATCCTCCAAAGTAATGGTACACTCGCCACAAGGGAGGTGAAAAGTGGAGGTCTCTGGTCGCCAATGCTCCACTACTGCCGTGATCAAGTCAGAATCACCATGCAACGGGGCAAGCTCCATAACAGTATACAATCCAGCAGCCCGAATGTATGGTTCATAAACTCCGTAATACTTGCCTAATATAGATGTACCTCGAGTCTTATATGGACGAACCATAGCATATATTCATCATCATGTAACCATTTAACCAAAATAACCATTTAACCAAAATAAGTATATCACACTATAACTCACTATAACTTTACTGTAAATCTAGAATATTCATAACCACTAATAAAATATTATGCTAATCCATGCTAACTCATACGAAATTTAATAACTTATAATTCAAAAGCACCTATATAGATAAAAACTATAAACTTAAACAATTCATAGCCACTAATGAGTACTTTTCCCTGATCCATACTAATTCAAACTAAATTAAATAACTTATAATTCATAAATTAAAGTACATACCTCATTTGCCCAAACCAAAAATGCTCGATGTTCACCATCCGCCCATAATAATTCGTTCTCTAATGGAGCCGGATTTAACGTTCTTGGTGGCGGCATCAAAGCATATTGATCATAAACAATAGGAGCTGCAATTAACGCACAAAACATAATTAAAAATATATTTAAGAACCATGCCGGAGACTCGCGCCGGTAACCGGGAACTCGCCGCCGGTAACCGGAACTCGCCACCGGCAATAAATATAAGGAGATTGGCGGCGGGACTCACGGCGAGCTACTGATCGCCGACCGCCACCTCTGCCTCTGCCTCTCCTTCGGCCACCACGGTCCGGATTCTCGACATGGTGCCCTCCACCATCATCAAGATCTTCGCCTTCCATGGCAGGCGGAATGAAAAAGGAGAGTTGGAGAAGTCGATTTCCGGCGGGGTTTGGGTGGTTGATGAATTTCCGGCGGGGTTTGGGTGGTTGATGGCGAGGAAGCGAGTTCCGGCAACTTTAGAGGGAAGTGTTGGGAGATATGGAGGAAGAAGACGATACAGAGAACTTATAAGCATCTGGGCGATGAAAAGCCGAATTGGGGCGGCAATAAGACCAATTGGGGCGTGCGCGCCCCAATTGGTCTTATTGCCGCCCCAATTGAACTTTTGGTAGCTGTAGTATTAAATTCGGGCGCCCACACCCGAATTCATTTTTCTGAGTCTAATTGGGGCATCCGCGCCCCAATTCGTCTTTATAGACAGTAGATTGGGAATTATTTTTCCAGTCACTGTATTTCGGGTATTTGTTTTAAAATTACAATATTTATGTAAAAACCCCTTATTTTTTACTCTTTAATTCCCTAAATTGCCCCTGTCACTCACTTTATTGACTAATATTTTTATTCTTCCTCGGTCCTCTCCTCTCACAGGTCACAGACAGTCGTGTCTTCTTCCAGCTCTAAAAGACCATTTTAGTGGTCGACGGCCATCGCCATCGCCGTCTGATCGAGATCCAGCTAAGCGACCCGAGTCCTCACTCAATCACTCATTCTCGAACTCGTTCTCAATCGACTCACTAGCTTCGTAGCCATGAGGCAATCCAGCCGAATAGAAATCTTCGATCCTTTCTACTGCCCTGCTTCGTCCTTGTTTCTGAACGAAACCTCCATTTTGCCTCCCAGAGCGCTCGGTTTCCCGTCGTCGTTCATTTCCGAGCATGAAGAAGTTGACGAGCTGAGCTCGGCGTTCGAGCTCCTGGCCCCACGAGCCAGCGGGTTCGAGCTGTTTGATACAGTGACGGATCTGATCCAGGTCGACAAAACGTCGTCGTACTGCTCCTACAAGAGGGTCCAGCAGCGGGCGGGGCCGGAGTTGTATCTGCAGAAGATCTCCGATCGAGTGAGTGCTCTGGAGTCGAAGTTTGAACAGCTGGTTGGCAAGTCGAAGAGCAAAGTTGGAGGAGAATGGAAGTATACTTGGACGGCGGAGATCAATGGGCCAGTGGAGAGGAAGTACAAGTGGATGGCAGAGATCAAGGGGGCAGCAGAGGAGGAGGAGGTGAAGAAGGAGAAGAAGCAGGTCCCGGTGAAGAGAGCTCCAGTGGAGAAGAAGTACAAGTGGACGGCTGAGATTAAGGGGAAAGGAGAGGAGTCGCGGAAGTACGTCTTTGAAGTATCCAGCGGCGGCGGTGCGAACAAGAGCAACGAATCGGGCAAAAAGGACAAGAAGAAGGAAGTGACGAAAGAGGAAGAGAAGAAGTCCAAGAAGAATGGCGTTCGCGTGGTGGAGATTGAAGAGCCTGAAGCTGATCATGGCGTCGTGGTTCTCAGACAGGTAAATTTGAAAGCGACATAGTGATTTTGATTAGCTCTCTTTCTCAATTGTATTGTGGCCAGCTGAGACTTGTACAATGCTCGTTGTTGGTTCAAGGCATTTGCTAAGAGAGCTGGGGCATTGAGGACGATGTAGGGGAAGAAGAAGGAACTGTCTCCCCAAGATGCAGCATTGTTGATCCAGATCACTTTCAGGGCTTATCTGATCAGGAGGTCCCAGGCTCTTCGTGCTCTCAGAGAGCTGGCGATCGCCAAGGCCAAATTGAAAGAGATCAGGGAGTTGTTCAACAACTTCTCTTACCGTCGTCAAGTTTCCAGGGATACTGAAGAGCGGCAGAGGTTCACTGAGAAGATCATTGTACTGCTGCTCACTGTTGATTCCATCGAGGTAACTACCAAAACTCCTTCTACCTTACTCATTCGCCTGCATTCGTTGTTTTGAGTATATGGTTAAGGTAGGGTGTGTATTCCCGTTAGTGGTAGATTGAATGAATGAATGGAGACGTGTAGTTAAAGATGTCGCCTTGGTGTTATGCGGAGGGTTTAATGGTTCTATAGAGGACCATCTCATTGTCCTGCCTCCATTACTGCGATGATATTTGAGTATCGAAGAGTCACAACTACTTGAATAGGTTCTAGCGCTCAGATATAATTGCTCTATGGATTTGAGTGGTTTTTTCAGTTACAGCTCCCAATTGGGCAGGGATTTGCTCTTTTGTTTGCATTGCACGCCATCGTGCTTGGATCGTCCATCTATGCAAGCAAATGGCTTCCTTGGCTTCTACTGGATGATTCTGCATTAAGTGTTTGGAGTGAATTGGATTGTTTTAGTTTGCGCTTGAAACATAAGTGATCAATCTGGCCATAGATATATACCAGGGCTGCTGATGCCTCAACTTCTTTTGAGCCGCATGTATAGAAGAAGGCCAATAAAATCTTGGTAGCTATATATATAGGAACATCCAATTTTCCTTGAAGTCCTTCGCGCATCAAGTTGAAACCTCCATTCACTCTATGCTGCATCTTTAGTTGGACCTGGCAATTGGTAGCGCCTTTGCAAACTCTTTCCAGGGCGTAATTCCTTAATCCCAAATCCTAACCTTAATCCTGGTTGGCTTATCATTATTTCTAAATGGAAGGTTCTTCCCTTTGCAACATCTATACCTAGTTTTGAGGTAGACACAGAGTTGAAAAATACCTTTAAATATGCATGATTTGGGATCAGTAGCCATCCCTCGTCCTTTCACGCACGCACTGTGTTTCTCAGTCGATAATTGGTTGGTTGCCCCATTTCAAGCCCGCTAAGCATTATTGTCAACTATAGCATGTGGCCACCTTAGTGGCTCTCTTTTTCCGGGTCTTCTGTTGTTTTTTCACGGTACCAGTACCACGTAAGTTAGATATCTCACTTCAGGACAGGATGTCCATCAACTTTTAAACTAGGCCTGTGCCACTTGATCTGTATCCTTTTTATGACCGGCCAGTTAGTTGAATTGAATGTCTCGTTTTCAATCCCCTTCACAATACATGACTTCCTCTCAATGTCATATAACGGAAAATGACTCTTCATGTGGCCCAAGCCTAGAGTTGATGTAACTCCACCTTCTGTGAATAGACCAGACCATTAATGAGGGTACTCAATGATTGTTTCAGGGAGCTGATCTGATGGTGAGAGCTTCAAAGAGGTCGATGGTGGATGAGCTGGAGGCCATGCTGGATGTGGTGGACCCACAGCCCGCCGGGGGAAGGTCACTATCGATGAGGAGACGGACATTTGACATGCCCGACGGCACCATCAGGAAGGAAATCGCTGAAGGCGTGGCACAAGTCGTGCAGATGCTTGAAGAAGAAGAAGAAGCGGATGAGTGAGAGCGCGCATGGGCGACGACGCCTTTTACTTGGTGTCTTTAGAGAGCTAGGTATAAGTTTAAGTTGTATCGGGCTGTAGGGGTGAAAGCTTGTCCCGGAAGACCCACTGACCCGTCCCGTCCCTAAGGGTCGGGACGGGTCAGTTTGTCTACAGGGACAGATTAGGGACGGGTCATTTGTTGACCCTGTAAGGGTCGGGACAACTTAGGGACGGGTCACGTTTTGACCCTGTGACCCTTAGTAACAACAAATATCTCATACTTCATTGGACCTTTTTGTAAATTTTTAAAAGTTTAGGTACTAATTTGTAAAAATAAAAAAATTTGGGTACCAAAACGTAATTTTACCATCAAAATTTATGGACTTATTTGTAAAAAAAATAAATTTTAGGTACTAAATTGTAAGGAAAAATAATTTTGGGTACCAAAACGTAATTTGTAAAAAAGTAGTGTGTTGATTAGGGTCGACCCACTGACCCGGCCCGTCCCGTCCCGTCCCGTCCCAACCCTTGAGGGTCAGACAGGGTCAAGAAGGAGACAGGGACGGGACGGGACGGTTATACATCTTGACCCTTCAGGGACGGGTCAGACAGGGACAGGGACGGGACAGACAAATTTTCAGCCCTATCGGGCTGGTTCATTTTGTAGTAGTGTTTTGTTACAGTGTGCTTCCTGGCATCAGCTCCCACTTGATAAACTGAATAATCTTTTAGCCCTTATCGTGTTTGTTAGGTAATGAGCGTGTTATTGTTTTCCAGCGAGAAAACTTGCGTTGAAACAAATTGAATGTTTCTTGACTTCTTTGGACAACGATCACTAAGACACGGTTCACACCACTTCAAACATGGTTCGAACGAGGGTGTTCGATGTTTACACGACTCACGAGACATAATCTAAATTAAGTTACTCCTACTCCTACGGAGGTTCAGTGAGAGCTCCAGATCTACGACTACAGCTAAAATTGCAGAGGAAAGGATAAAGGGATAAAATTTGACAATGTGTTGTCTGGTGTGAATTTGGCGAACCTCTCCTCTGTCGACTCCTCCTCCTATTTATAGCCCTAGAGATGATAATCGTCGTAGAAACTGTCATAGAGTAACTTCCAAAAAGAACTGCTCTCCTTCTTTCTCGGACATGGCTGACGTGTCATTGTATGTGGGATAATCGGCAGTTTCTCCGTTAACCGCCTGCTCTTCATCCTGGAACTGTCGTCTTGTTACTTGCCTCTCCCACATGACTTTCCTTCTTACTTCCAACTTGTTAGCTCAGATCTTGGACATAGTCTCACGACGCGATGTAGATCTCGCAACCGATGTCACGACCATGTCGGGCTCTAAGTTTGATGCCAACGTGGTCTAGATCTCATGACCACGTCGGGCTCTAGATTTGACGCCAACGTGGTCTATATCTCACGACCACGTCAGGCTCTAGATTTGATGCCAACGCGGTCTAGATCTCACGACCACGTCGGGCTCTAGATTTGATGCCAATGCGGTCTAGATCTAACGACCACGTCGGGCTCTATATTTGATGACAACGCGGTCTAGATCTAACGACCACGTCGGGCTCTAGATTTGATGCCAACGCGGTCTAGATCTCACGACCACGTCGGGCTACCCAACTCGCGACGAGACTAGCTCCTTCTTGGAGACTTAGGGATTTGGGCTTAAAAACTAGTATCATGAGGCCCAGTTCAAATAACACTAATTGTTATTAATGATCTGGCCTTATAAAGGCAGTTAGTGCATTGTAAGTAATTAATGTGGTACACTAGTATTTTTTAGGTGTAAACAAATGCCCCCCAACTACTTAGTGCATAAGAATTATGGACTAAGTAGTTGAACACCACCATGCTAGCCAAGCAATGTGTTGGCTTATCAACACACCAATTTTACTTCGCCAAGATTTTGACTTTCAATAATTAAGCCAACACATCCGGATGGAACACTGGTCATAACTTGTCCCATGCCTTAGGCAAATTTTGGTTTTTCGCGTCAAGCCAACATGGCGAGATGGAACTTGACGTCAAAACTTGTTCCATGCTTTAGCCAAATTTTGGATATTCACGTCAAGCCAACATGGCGAGATGGAACTGGACGTCAAAACTTGCTCCATGCCTTAGCCAAATTTTGGCTTTTAATAATCATGCCAGCATGGCCGAATAGAACTCGACGTCAACGACTTGCCCCATGCCTTAGCCAAATTTTGGCTTTTAATGGTCAAGCCACCTAATGCATTCAACGAGACACCAACCTCACTTTATCACCTAGACCCTCATTGACATTTCGTACTTTGCCACATGGTTGAGAGAGTAACTTAGAATTTTTCGCACCTATTTTGGCATAGATTGGCTCATCTCACCTCGTCACAAGGCTAGACAGCTCCCTCGCGACAAGTCAAGTCGTCTACTTTTATGCCTTAGACAAACTAATGTTCATTTTTATGTTGGTAGAGACATTATGGTCACCACTCCTCTACTACCACGTTTCAAGCCATCATGCCCCCCCAGGCCGTGACTACTTGGGAGAAGATAAGATGGCATGGCATGGCCTGATGTATGGCTCGTCATGTCAAGCCATTACAACGACTTGGTGGCAAGATCTTCATGTCGAAGTCTAACAACTCCGAATCAAGATTTTCACTTTGATATTTTCCTTCTATCTTTTCTTTTAGCCACGTTTGGCTACAATATTTTTTTTATAACTAATATATAATAAGTACATTATATAAATTTATTTATTTTATATGGCAAGAAGTGACAGATGTCACTGCTCTCCATAGCCTTTGACAACAATCAATGTACCAAAGGTGTACACCCATTGCCAAGTCCATGGATCCAACCAGACATGCCATCCATAGACCACATGACTCTTTTCCTCCATGGGAGATGAATTTTCATACATGAACTTTAAATTTTCTAGCTTGCTAATGGGTGGTACATGGTCAGCCTGTCTAGTCTTGGTGGCCTTACATGAGGTTTCATGCTTCTTTGCTTGGGCCACCTTACTTGACATTTCAAGGCTATCGTGATTATTCTTCTGCGTTGATTTCCTCCCACTTGATACGAGCTTAATCTCATCATGATGTTGGGGACCAGGTCTCGTGTAGCTTCCTTGTCTTCGTCTTTCAACAAATAAACCTTGTTGGCCCCTACACTTAGCACTCAACCACCATTGATTCTTTGTGCAACAATGTTTGGATGGTGTGTATGGTGACTTCTTATACATGCCCCCATGTCCACTCTTTGTAGTTGGTGTCGAGTACTTACTATTCATTGACATGGACTTGCCCCCCAATCCACCCTTGTCCATAATCTCACGCTTACAAAATTCATGTGGGGGTTTGACTTGTTGTGTCTTCTTGAAGATGCCCTCTACTCCATTCTTCATGGTGGGTGACATGCTCCCTTGTCCAGACTTAGTCAAATTAGCATGCTTATCGCAAACATGTGTGACTTGCACTTCATATGGCTTCTTGGACATGTCTTTTCCATACTTAGTCAAATTTTCAAATCTACAATAACTTTTTATGGCTTTCTCACGTCGTGACTTGTTAGATATGCCCCCATGTCCACTGCAAGTGGTTGGAGGCATGCCCCCCTTTCTAGACTTAGCCAAATTAATATGTTTAGCAAAGCATGTTGCTTGTGATTGATGTGAGCTATTAGACACCACATCCCCCCCATATGGACATCTCGGTGTCAACTTGTGGGAAATTAGACTTTCATGCCCCCCTTGCTGAGCTCTAGGTGTTTTGAGTCCATCAGAATCGCCTATTTGTCCACTCAATAGGGGTGCCTTTGGGGGTGGGCAATCATGTGGTGGTACTTGTTCCACGTTTAACGGATCTTCACCATCTCGTCCGTTGACAAGTGTCTCATCTGATCTTGTCTCGAGAACGAGTGGTTGAACATCACCTTGTACATGCAAGACCCCATCACTGTTGTTCAAAGTGGAGGTTGACCTCTCACCACAACCCTCACGTAGAGGGGGCGGTTGAGTTGCCACTGGAGATAACAAGTTCTCTGTTCGTGGCTGGATATACCGGTCATAGGAGGGAGAAAGATTTTTGCACACAATTTTATTATTTGGTGTTGGTTCTAAACCATTTTGCGTCAAAATCATTGATTGCGGCACTGGTTTTATTAACAGTTGCCCAAAATCTCTTACATCGTTTTTACTTATCTCCAAAATCTTATCCACACGCCTATCAAAACTTGAATAAAAACAATCAAGTTGAGATATTATCTTATTGGTACCTGCCAAGGCCTTCTCCATGCATCGGCGGTTCTCCTCCATCACTTGGCGGTTCTCCTCCAAGGCTAGACGGTTTTCTACCACCATTTTGCGGTTCTCCTTCAAGGCTTGACGGTTCTCTGCAAGCATCTTGCGATTCTACTCCATCATCTGACGAAGGGCCCCCACGGCTTCACCAAGATCTTCACTAGGCGTGGTCGCCACCAAGATCTCTGCTCCACCATTTACTTCGGTCACCGCCTCTAATGCTTGGCCATGCTCGATGTTGGCCACCTGCTCCTCCACGAATCCAGCTGAAATGTCACCTTCTTGGTTCCTCCGCCTCGGACCCATTGAATCGACCACAAGGGTCCCACAGGGCGTGCCAAATTTGTTTTCCGGCGAGAAAACTTGCGTTGAAACAAATTGAATGCACCTTTACTTCTTTGGACAATGATCACTAAGACACGGTTCACACCTCTTCAAACACGGTTCGAACGATGCTGTTCGATGTTTACACGACTCACGAGACAGAATCTAAATTAACTTACTCCTACTCCTATGGAGGTTCAGTGAGAGCTCCAGATCTACGACTACAGCTAAAATTGCAGAGGAAAGGATAAAGGGATAAAATTTGACATTGTGTTGTCTGGTGTGAATTTGGCGAACCTCTCCTCTGTCGACTCTTCCTCCTATTTATAGCCCTTGAGATGATAATCGTCGTAGAAACTATCATAGAGTAACTTCCAAAAAGAACTACTCTCCTTCTTTCTCGAACATGGCTGACGTGTCATTATACGTGGGATAATCGGCAGTGTCTCCCTTAACCACCTGCTCTTCAT